TATTGAGAAAAAAAAAAAAAATTACTTAGTATATGCTATTTGATGATGACTAACAATACAATTTTTTTCATCACCTAAAAATCTAAATATGGACCTGTGACAATCTCGTCATCTTGCAAAAAATAAAAAATAAAATATGTACATATGAAAGCATTTTACTTTCTAAAGTTACACTAATTATTTTACCAACTATAACGCGTAAAGTGTATTTTCAATCATGACATCTTCCAACAATGGTGGACCACATTTGAACATTCCCCGGTCTCATTTTCATTGAATTTTCTATATGACAATAACAGTACTGACTAGTGAATTATTGCATGTTGTACCTATGGCCAGTCGTTTTGTATAGCCCGATATTTTATAAAACATTTTATTAATCTTGGTATGATGGCATCCCGATTAGGCGATTATCATTTTAAACGGGTGGTCATAGGTCAAATCCCAATAGAAGGTCTTAAATTCTTTGGATTGAAATTGTTTTAAAAAATATAGAACAGATACTACCTCATAAAGAATACTGAACGAATATGATGTATATATTTTATTATTACAAAGTAAAAAGTGATAAATTAAATTTTGAGTAACTTATTTTACTTCAAACCCTAACATTGAAGTAAAAGATTTCTTGTGGGAGTTCATTTACGGTTTTGATTCTATTAAAGAACCCTAATATTGAGTTTGGATATATAATTTTTATATTCTTTTTGTATTTCTAGCTAATTAATATAATTAAGAATGTATAAATTTGTTATTCGTTGTAATTGAGACAAATTAAAATAATAAGCTAAGAGAGAATTTCACTTTAATGTAATAGAAGCCAATGATATGAGTTTTATAGTGACTAAGCGAAGTCATGAAGTTTGAGTACAATTTAGAGGGAAGAAGAAAAAAAAGATCCAAATTATATTTTCATTATTACCCTGATTAATTAAGTATAACTTTTGAAAATTAAAAGTAATTTTTACTAGACTAGTTAACAAAAGGATAATAACTTAAGAATTGAAAGTGGTGACACCTATAATTTTGAAAATAAGAGGTAAATCTGTTATTACTCCACAATTAGAAATCAAAAGTAAACTTTTTTATTTTTGAAATAATAATAATAATTATTATAATTATTTTTATAATTATTGACTGATTGTTTCTATTGATGTTACAGTTGTTTAAGAGAAAAAATAAAAATCAACAACCCCATAGTTGGTAAATCAAAGGATTAGAAAATGTTGTAATGGGTTACCATATAGCATTTATGAATATAATTAGAGCAAATGTCATATGAAGTCCTTTGAGTATAGTGATTTTGTCACGTTTAGTAATAAATTTTTAAATTGACTACACATTGTTTTTCGACTTTTGCATTGTTACTATTCGTGATCCAAGTTAACCATCCATGACTCTTCAACTATAAAATTTTAACCATTCATGGCCCTTTCATGAGAACCACGACTGGTTAAATTTTGAAAGTTGAAGGACCATGGGTGGTTAACTTGTGGATCACGAATGATAACAATTTGAAACTCAAAGAATCACAATGATCAATTTAAAAGTTTAAAACTAAACGTTGCAAAATTACTATACTCAGAAGACTCACATGACATTAACTCATATCAATATATCATTAAGCAATTACCTAATCGAAACTACACTCACCTAACCTCACCAGTCTCCCACCAATATTTTATAGAGAAGGTACAAGAACGAACATGCATGACAGAGACGAGGTTTTGGGGGTTTCAAACTATTATTTTTTAAAAATAAATAAATATTTTTTTTGTTTCAGCTATCACTTTATTCAAAATGTAGGTATATTGTTATCAAGTGCAATATATATACAAGTTGGTAGATCATAATAATTAATCTAAGCTATTAAGCGATCGACTTACATTATTTCAATATAATTTATCTAAGTTCTCATCTTTAATTTCAAACCATTTGACTACTCACTTTCTTGTTACAAATCAATTTATGTGGTTTGAATTCAGAAATAATTTAAAAGTTTATAATTTATGCTAATTGCTCAACTCTTAGACCTGTATGGATATATAGGCCATGAGTAGAAGTGCAAACAAACTAAGCCAAATTTGAACATAGACAAACTTGAGTCATTTGAGTTTGAAATAGTTACAATTACTAAAAATTTAGACTCTAGTTATATTAATGACTAGTTAATTAATTTTTATACGACGGTCTGAACTTAATTCGATTGGTTTGAATTGAGTTCGAGTTCAAGTTTAAACTATAGTGCTACGTGTGTGGGTGGGTGGGGGCTCGCGAACACCTGGACGAGTTATGAATCAAAAAATTAAAATTTAAATTTGAGTTTAAATTTAATTGAATTTAAATCAAATTAAAATTTGACCGAACAATTCACTAATAGCAAACAAATGACTTTGGCCCTGTTGGGTAAAATGGCTGTTAGCTGATAGCTGTTACCTGTTAGCTGATTGTGTTAATTTGAGGGTATAAATAGTTGATAACATTAGCTGATTGTAAAAAAGTGTTTGGTAAATTAGTTGTTAGCTGATAGCTGTTTGGTATAATTTCTTTTCTCAAAAAAGCTAATTGAAAAAGTTGCTTGGAGTAGCTTTTTGAATTTTAGCCTTTTGGAGTTGCAAAAAGCTAATTAACCAAACATTTATATTGATATTTTAACTAAATCAAACAATTAATAGTGGCAAAACAAAAAAAAAAAAAAACAATTAATAGTGGTCAAAGCCAAAATTGGCCTATAGGCCAATTTTTTACCAAACAGGGCCTTTATGTTGTATTGCAAGTTTAATTTGTTTGCAGGCCTTTAGCTCGTGAAGAACAGTAGTGAAGAACCGTAAGAACAAGAAGAAGAGTATAGACAAAATAGAGGGTTTCTTATTCCTTTCAACCACCAACTGATCAGTACATTAGAAGGACATATATATAATAACAATTCTAACGAAATACAATAATAGAGACATAACGGAAATCGTTACACAATAATGTCCACAATCATTACTATTTATAACACTTTACTCATTTTCATCCTTAGCCATGAGACACTCATTGTATCATCAAAGAGAACATGCATGGTAGAGGCCCAAGCACATGCCCCAATCATAATAGACTAATGAAATTGCCACCCACCAATAATCCCAACATGGCAACATCCCTTCTCTCTCTCCCCTCCCACCCTCTTTTTCAATTATATGAAGATACTTTTGTGTTTTATAAATGGATGTTAGACCCTTTTAATTTTATTGGAAGACTTTTACATAAAAGCTATTCATGTTAATGTGACGTATCTTTGCTATCACTTGTCTTCCAACACCATTCATCATAGTGCAAGAGCGATAATTAAGTTATGGTAAAAATCTGTGTGAGATTATTCGAGTTAAGATGAAATGTAATATGTACTTATACTAACAAATGTAATACTGAAGGGATCAGGTGCAGGAATAGCTTCCCGTGCGATTGTGCGATTGGATGCACATTAAGCATTAAACTGACGCACTTTAAGTACACAATAAACGCACATTAACCACACAAACAAAACACCTTAAGAACACAAATCACACACCATAAGAACACCAACCACGCACCTTAAGCACATAACAAAGCACCTTAAGAACACAAATCACGCACCTAAGATTTTAAAAATGATTCACTTTAAGTTTCACATAACTGACGCACCTTAAGCATACAAATCACGCACCTTAAGATGAAAACAACGCACATTAAGAAGGAAACTCACGCACCTAAGTTTCAGCAACTATTCACCTTAAGCACAAAACTCACGCATCTTAAGCACAAAACTAACGCACCTTAAGCACAAAACCCACACACCTTAAGTATAAAACTCACGCACTTTAAGTACAAAACCCACGCACCTTAAGCATAAAACTCACGCACCTTAAGTACAAAACCCACGCACCTTAAGCATAAAACTCACGCACCTTAAGTTTTAACAACTACTACCATTAAGTACACAACCCCACGCACCTTAAGCACAAATCTCACGCACCTTAAGCACGAACTCACGCACCTTATATACAAAACTCACTCATCTTACTCACAAAAATCATGCACCTTACATTTATAATTACGTATATAAAAAGAAACAAACCGAGTTAAATTAGTAGCCACTTGAATTAGTAACCATTACAACCAGATATGGTGTATGTAATTACATCTAATATAAAAGGTATCAATTAATTCACATCTTTAAAAAAAAAAAAAAACAATTAATTCATATCTTAAAATAAGCCCATATAGATACACCAATATGTGCAGTGCTCGTGGGTTGATTGACTTGATTCCAGGACATTATTGATATATATGAGTTGGACTTTTGTTTTAATATGTTTCTTCTTGAAACCTACACATGCATTCCTACACACAATAATACATAGATAATTTGGTAGTAGGTAGATTAGAAAAGTCCAACAATTGGATAGAATAATGGATTGGAATCAACTATTGACTTAATGATCACTGTACAAATGGTATCAACCAAAATATTATTATTATTATTATTATTATTATTATTATTATTATTATTTAGCCTTTCTACGCAATGGCTGTCCATTTCAACTAGCTAACACTACACAAAAGTACAAACACATTGGAAACCGGCCAAATTAGTAAGTTAATTTGGTAACCATATAATCACAAGTTTGACTTTAAATATGGGCAGTTTATTAGCATGCATTTTTTGTTTGAGCCAATTAACTATGAGTAATCTAACCTGTTTATCTCCTTATGGTCCTTTGTCTGCTAGGGTTACAAAGCAGACTTTGAATGGGAGCAGTCTATTGATCTTTTGATTTGAACTGATTAACTATGAGGAATCTAGACTGATTTAGCTCATTATGATTCTTTGTCAGCTAAGATCACAATACAAGATTTACCTAGTGTACATACACTTCCACATACTAGCTAATGTTCCCGCATTCAAAAAAATAAAAAAAATAAAAAAAATACAAACACTCCAACTAGGCAACTCCCAACTCCTATAAAAGGCAACCTGTCTTGGATACTACATTCCTCACACCACACTTCATTAACTACTTACTACTACAAACTTTATACCCTTTCTTTTTAGTGCTAAGAAAATGACAACATCAAGAAATCCCAATATTTTCACTCTTTTTTGCCTCTTTTTCTTCCTAATTTCAGTCTCCTCTACACACCCAATGGGCAGGAAGAAGCCATACAAGCCATGCAAGAACCTAGTCTTGTACTTCCACGACGTCATCTACAACGGCCAAAACGCCGCTAACGCCACCTCCACCATTGTCGGAGCCCCGCAGTGGGGCAACTACACCATCCTCGCCACCCAGTTCCACTTCGGCAACGTCGTCGTTTTCGACGACCCCATCACTTTAGACAACAACTTCCACTCCACGCCGGTGGGGAGGGCCCAAGGGATGTACATGTACGACACCAAGAATACTTACACGGCTTGGCTTGGGTTCTCTTTTGTGCTTAACACTACGGATTCTCAAGGGAGCATAAATTTCATTGGCGCAGACCCATTGATGAATAAGACTAGGGATATATCGGTGGTGGGTGGCACCGGCGACTTCTTCATGCACCGCGGCGTCGCCACCGTCATGACCGACGCCTTTGAAGGCGAGGTTTATTTCAGACTTCGCGTGGATATCAAATTCTACGAGTGCTGGTAGTGAAATATAATTTCATAGTCCACACCCTATAATTGTAAAATAGGGTTTCAATATAATTGCCTTTTTCATATTTATGAAAACAAGTTATATGTATGCGTACGTACGGCACAACTTATGTGGTACAATGTTAGCCTCGTCCGATGACTACCTTTGTATGTCTGTGCCTATTTCTCTGTGTTTTCCAAGGTAACAAAATTTGGAATAAAATTGAAGAGTTACTTTTTTTTTCCCCTCAAAATAATTGTTTCATCTGTTCCTATTTTGATGTAATTAACTGAATTTTACCCTCTTGTGTTCAGATGGCAGGTAGTGACCTCTTCCATGTGGGAAGTTATGAGATCGAACCTTCAGAGATCGAGCCTCAGTGAAGGCGTAAAAAAAATTGAATTTTACCCTTATTAACTTTTCTCCGTTAAGTGGTAATTTTGGTGCTTTAATTGGACTAACAATATATGGGATACCAAGTGGTTTGTGGTTCACTAGTAGTGTGTATATGTTGGGTATCCCTTTCCTTATAATATATATATATATATATATATATATATATATATATATATATATATATATATATATATATATATATATAAATATAATCGCACTCAGATGCGAATGCTTCGCCCAGGCGCGAAATAGGAATGAATTCTGGACGGGAATGAATTCTGTTCGTCCACGTGTAATGGATGAGAAACACTGATTTTTTAAAAAAACGCGGTGGCATTTTCGTAAATAATTGAACATCGAAGTGCAAGTAAAATGTATTACAAGTGCATGTAAATGTATTATAGGTGCAAGTAAAAATTTACACTGAGCATCAATACTTAGTTGCACCTATAGTTCTAAGTAGTTGCACCTATCATTTTAAGTAGTTGCACACATAGTTATAAGTAGTTGCACCTAGGTGTATGAATGTTTGCGAGTGGTTTTCAGAGGTATTACTACCCGCTGAACTCAGATCAATGAATGTTAACAAGGCAAAATTACATGCACTTATAGGTGAAAGTAGTTGCACCTATAGTTATAATAGTTGCACATATAGTTATAAGCACACCCAGGTGCATGAATGTTTGCGGAAAGTGAATGCTAACAAGGCAAAATTACATGCACTTATAGGTGAAAGTAGGTGCACTTGTAAGCGATTTTACTTGCACTTCGATGTTCAATTATTTACGAAAATGCCACCGCGTTTTTTTTTTAAGTTATTAGATCTGGACACGTGTCGCGCGCTGATTCGTTCGCATTTTTCTCCTGAGTACTTATTCGCACCTGAGTGCATCCCTATATATATAATGAAAGTTAAGGACCTAAATTGAGTATTAACTCTAAGATAATACAACTACAGTAATTCCATATTGTGTTTGACGAATATATTGGGAATCGACCCGAGGGCGCGAAGGAAGAACGGGTCCCGGGGCGGCGCCACGTATCCGCCCCGGCCGGGGCCTCGCCACGTGGCCCCCGCACGGGCCACGTTGGAGGCCGGGCCTGCCTCTCCAGGAGGCCGGGCCGGCCTCTCCAGGAGGCCAGGCCGGCCTCTCCAGGAGGCCGGGCCTGCCTCCCCAGGAGGCCGGGCCGACCCCCACATGGGCCCATGATGAGCTCGGCCTGGCCCCCGCAGCGCAGCCCGGTCGCGAGACCGGGCGCGGTCAACTCCAGATCCAACTAACCCCCCGTTCTAGGGGGAGGCGGTTGGGGGGCTTGGCTTGTATAAAAGCCCCCCTCCTTGTCCTAACAAGGGACATGCTATCTACGATCTACTTTACAGACACACTTTGTACTGAAGAATCATTGTAATAGCCAATTCCACGGCATTTAATACAAGGCTACGGTCTCACGGCCTTCGTTATATCGCTCGTATCATTTATTTATTATTTATATTCTCATTCGGGTTAGTTAAGTCGGACCCCCAGTTTAATTAAATCCATCATTGGTGCTCTTGTTGAGAACGGCTGTACAAGCTTGAGCGCTCTCCCCACTATTGTTCATCGACAGCGATGGCACGATCGAGATCCAGCTCTCGTCATACCAATGGTTCCCGCAGCACCCAGCTCGTCGCGAACGGGAACGGCCCCAACGGGGACCCCGCCCCCAGCATCCAACCAGCCGCCTCCGCCAGGTCGGGGGAGGATCTGAGGGCCCAGCTCACCAACCACCGTAGTAGTGGTGCGCCACCAGCACCCCCCGCCGCCCCCGCTCCAGCTCGCGCACTCATCCGGGAAGGGGTGGCGGTCTTCGAACAAGCTTCCACCGCGCTGGCGCGCGTCGCGGCAGGCCTCCGAGCAGAGGAACAAGCCGCCCTAGGCGTCGCCGGGGGGGCGCCGGCGTCACCTCCGCCTCCTCCTACCCGGGGGCGCAGCGGCCCGAGCACCCGACCGCCCCAGGCACCTGTCACCCAGGGGGAGGTCAACTCGCCTCGACCATCGGAGAGGCGGGGAGGAGGGGATTCCCGCCGAGACCGCTTGCGTGATGACGATGGAAGGGCGCCGACCCAAACCAGGCCCGCCCTGGAGAGGTTGGGCGATCGCGTGACAGCCCGAGATAGGTTGGGTCCGAGGCCGGCCAATGGGCTGCCGGCGGCGGAGTCATGCTCCCGCCGGCCGCCGCGACAGGGATCGGTCACCCGGAGGTCGCCGAGCCATGGGCCCCGCGCCCAGCCGCGACACGAGGCAGCCTCGCGCGGGTCGGCAGGTCGGGTCCCCCGACTCCACCCGCGACGCGAGCAGGCCTCCCGGGTCGAACGATCGGGGGAAACGAAAGGTAGAGCTCCGAGCTCCCATCGGGTGGAGGTCGAGAAGCTGCAGAGGAGGATGGACGAGCTCCAACGGAAGATCGATGAGAGGGACGGGTCTCCGGAGCCCCAGGACGTGTTGGCCTCCCCATTCGCGGATACCATCATGGCAGAGCCCCTACCTCGAGACTTTCGCTTTCCCACCATTAAAGCGTACTCGGGGACCACGGACCCACGGGCACACCTGACCAGGTACAGAGCCGCCATGATGATCACCGAGGCGACAGACGCCATCCTGTGTAGGGGGTTCTTCGCCACCCTGGACGGGCAGGCGCATGACTGGTTCGGATCCCTCCCGGCGGGGTCCATCTCCACCTTTGCGGACCTCACCCGGCAGTTCCTATCCCATTTCGCCAACAACATACAACGGAAGAAGCAAATTGCCGACCTGTGTGATTTGAAGCAGGGGAGCTCGGAATCACTAGCCGAGTACCTCAGCAAGTGGAAGAAAGAGGTCATGGGGGTCGCCGACTTTGATGCGAAATCGGCCATGGTAATTTTCCGGAACAACTTGAGGTCGGGCGCTTTTCACCAGGACCTCATCAGGTACCCCCCAGGACCTACACCGACCTGATGGACAAGGCAGCAAGGTACGCTGACGCCGAGGCTGCCGAGAAGAGGAAGAAGGAGCAGGAAGAAGGAAGAGGTCGAAAAGACAAGGCACCCCAGGAGGAGCGCAAGGCGCCCCGACTACACCGACGTGAGTACGCTGAGGGGCCCAGGATGAACCCCACACGCTATCTCACCCCGCTGACACAACCCGTGGGTACTATCTTGGCGCACGCGGAGGACCAGGGAATCGTGGTATTCCCGAAGGAGGAGTGCATGAAGATATCGGCGAGGGGGGACCCCAACAAGTACTGCAGGTTCCACCGGCAGAAAGGACACGATACAGACGAATGCATCCTCCTAAAAAGACAAATCGAACAGCTCATCCAAATGGGCTACCTCGGCCAATTCATTAAGAAGCCCGGCCAGGCGCAGGAACAGGCCCAGGGCCAGAAGCAGGGCAATGTATGGCGGAAGGGGGGTGGCCAGGCGCCATCCACCTCGGCTCCTCCCCGCAAGAGGGACCACCACGACCACAGTTCCGAGGAGGAGGAGAAGACGACGGAGGACTCCCAGCCCCCGAAGAAACGGGCCATCTACGTCATCTTTGAGGGCCCGAGGGAGGGGACTCGCCAGCCGAGCGGAAGAGGTGGGCGAGGAGCTTGTACATGGGGAAGGTCACACGTACCCCCCACGAGAAGAAACCAAAGAGGGAGCCCATCACGTTCACCGACGCCGACCTGCCAGATGGGCCCCTCCCCCACCGAGACGCCCTGGTGGTCAAGCTGGACATCAACAACATGGTGATGCACCGGGTACTCGTAGACACGGGTAGCTCGGTGAACGTCATGTACTACGACACGTTTACCCTGCTGGGACTCTCAAGAGGGCAGCTGGAGCAGGTACGAACCCCCCTATCCGGGTTCACGGGGGACTCAATCGAGACAGAGGGGTCGATCACTTTGAAGGCAGAGATAGGCACCCCACCTCAAACCAGGAGGTGGGAGGTCGAGTTCGTAGTCGTCAAAATCAACTGCGCCCACAACATCATTCTCGGCCGACCCGCCCAAGAGGACCTCAGGTGCGTGATTTCCATGGAGCACCTGTGCCTCAAATTCCCGACACAGGTCGGTGTCGGGGTCGCCCGAGGGGACCAAAAGGTGAGCCGCAGTTGCTACTTGAAGGCGTGCCGCCAAATTGGTCAAAAGGACCGCCAGGTCCACACCAGGACGGCCACGTAAGAGGAGGATCTTGGCATTGCTATTCTAGGAGGAAGACCATTCCCCCCCCCCCCCCCCCAATAATGTCTTGGTGAACAACAATAAGCGGAATAAAGTTTCATGTCACGAAACACGTTGTGAGTAGGACCCTTGTTACGAAGTTGGTTCTCAAAAAAAAAAAATAAAATAAAATAAAATAAAAATCATGAAACAAAGGGGGAACGGGTGCTCACTCATGACTTCCCCCCGCGAACCCTAAGGGGGCACGAGGTCCGACCTCGCGTACCAACCCCGACGGAGGACGCACCCTAAGGGGGCACGAGGGCCGACCTCGCGTACCAACCCCGACGGAAGAGCCCGGTGGCGCAATCCGAAAGGACTTGGCCCGAGCGGCTAACGCGCACCCTAAGGGGGCACGAGGTCTAACCTCGCGTACCAACCCCGACGGAGGAACCGGTGGCTTGGTCCGACAGGACTGGGCCCAAGCGGTTAGGCGCACCCTAAGGGGGCACGAGGTCCAACCTCGCGTACCAACCCCGACGGAAGAGCCCGGTGGCGTAGTCCGGAAGGACTTAGCTCGAGCGGCTGAAGTACCCTAAGGGGGCACGAGGCCGGACCTCGCGTACCAACCCCGACGGAGGAGCCCGAGTGCTTAGGCTCGGAAAAAAAAAAAAAAA